GGTAACGACTGAGCGCAGATTAAAAAAAAAAAAAAAGGTTAAAAAGAATGAAGGGCCATCATTCCATTAAGGACACTTCTATAGTGTTTCTATCATTGGCAACCAGTCTCTTGTTCTGCTTTTATTTCACATCAGCTACTCCTTTTGATCAATGATAAACTAGCAACTAAATTTCATTTCTGCTTTGTTTGAAATAGCATTAAACTTCAAAATCACATTTTTTTTATCAATATGCATGGTTATCATATAACTAGATTTCTCTGGAAAAATCCTTTTTTTGGACCAGTAAAAATGATGTAACTATGAGGTCCCCTAAATGATACAGAGCAGAGATGACCTGCTGTCCATGAGGCACAAGAAAGGATAATACAGGATTTGGGGTGGTTTAGAGCTTCTTATTTTTTTGGTTGAGAGACAGATTTGTTAAGACAGACAGATCATTTAAGGCACAGATTTGTTTAAAATTTCAAACTACAAAAACTGATTTAAATTATGAAACCTTATAATTTCACACAACAAACTCAGATTCATTGCAGATATCTGTGATTGCACAGAATGAACACTGATTTAGTGACAAAGGCTTTTGATTTAATAGTACAATGATTTACTGGTAAAGACACTGAATTTCATGCCACAAATAGTGGCTAAAGTGGAAGGGACATGTGATTTCGTATCACAAACACTGCTTAGCTTGCAGAAACAGTTCAGTTTATTTTTTCCAATTTTATTACAAAACAATGCCAAAATAAAAATGGAAATGCATTGCAATGAATTCCTGTACTTTCAAAATGGTTGAGAAGAACAGAAGTTAACTGCTTCATACACCCCCTATCGATTTACAACATCATAGGAACTCAGAAAAGCACAATTTGGCAGTTCAAGAAGAGAACTGTTCAGGAAACTTGTCACATTATTTTGTAAAACTGGGCAGATCAAAGGATGCTGTTACTGCAAAAGGGGGTGCTCCTTCAGTGAATTTACACTTTTGTTTTGTCATTGTTTGGGGTACAGTAAAATAAGAATGATTAAACTCATTTTTTCCTGCAAGCTAAACCACATGGCCTAGCAATTGTAAATCTATGGATTGCACCTATGTGCTGCTAAAGGTACTGATTCTACGATAACGACATTTAGAGTCAAGAATTTCTTAACCAAGACAGAAATAATTATTAATTCTATTATTGATGATGATCTAAAAGATTTTGAACATCACTTCGCTTACTGCTGAGATGGTACAGATGGAAGCAAGTTCAGTTAAACTATTTCCAATAATCATTCCATATTTCAACTAGAAAAATGACCAATTTTGCATTTAAATAAATCATGGTTTATAATACAATTACTCAATAACTAAAGGAGACTTTTGAAACAAAACATATTTTCATGAACACACCATACTGATAGATGATAACTACAATTCAATATTTGGGACATTCCTTCTTGATGAAAAAAGAAAGAATGTTTCACAAACTTAAGAGGTTGTTGCAGGATGCTAATTGATGTGTGTTGAGCAGCACATTTATTGAACAACTGTATTTTCATGACAATATTTTAAAAGAATACCAATACTTTCATTGTTATCAATTACAGAAAACTGCGGTCTCACAGCAAGACATTTCTAGATAATGTGAGGTGTTTCTGATACAACATAAAACTTCCTACAATTATTCATGAGTTCAGCAAGATTTATCTGACAGATTCATTCACTCATGGGTATATTTCAATTCAATCACACATTCAAGAAACTGAAAGAGGAAAAAAATCTCTTGTGGAAAAAATTGTGGAAGATCAGAAAAGCTTAAATTCAGTTAGATCAGGACACAAACCTGATATCAGAAATTAGGATTCCAATAGATATAATATGCTCTGAATAATTCAACAATTTGAAGAAATTTCATGGAAGGTTGCAACACTGATGAACAGTTCAAGAATTTATAAGCTCCAAGGTTCCAAAAGCACTGAAGGACACTCAGCATACTTAAAAGATTTCCAAGGTTTTTGTTTGTTTTGCTTCTTCATCTCATAATACAAATCTACATCTTACTGATGCATAATCAGTGGATAAAAGAAAGGAACAACTGATAGCTGATAAAATTATAGGACTACTAGGACTGGGCTGCAAAAACTCAGATGATGACTAGATAACGAGAAGATACAGAAAACTATAGCACTAAAAGGATAACACCTACAAAAAAAAAAATATGAGCACATCAGGAACAACAGGAATGAAAAACAGTGAAAGACTCACTATATGTTGACCAAAATTGCTTCTAACAATGTAAAGTACTATTAATTTCTAACTAGGTTGGTATGTCCTAATGTACTTAAACATGCATGTTTAAAAATCTTATCGAGATTAAGGCAGGATCAGTCAGGTCTTTACAGGAAGGTGATACTGATTTACACTATTTTATTAAAAGATGCTGTCGATGTCATTAGTACTACCTATGTATACATAGCATGTCACAAGAAACAGTTATAAACATAAGAGCATTATGTGGCAAAACTTGATTTTTAATAATTGCTCCAGGCTCAGTTAGCTGTAGTGGGAATGGCCAAATGTAATTGTTATAGGTTCATTGTGGTAAAAAAGCATAAATAAATTCACTGTGGTACATTATATAATCAAGCTACTCTATAGAATGTTGTCTTTTTCAAAACTTAAAATATGAGAACCTTGTTGTAATAGTGGGTAACTGTACTTGGCAGGAGATTTAGGTAGATGATCTATCTGCAAGATCCCTTCTATTACACGATACTTAGGATAGGTTAAATGGTGCAACATAAAACAAAACCTAGAAACCATGAAATAAAAATATGAAAAAAATCAGGTACAGCCATTTACATTACATTTTAATCATATTATCCCTCCCTTTGCAGGTTCCAACCATCAAATTAATAACTAAAAAAGGGATAGCCTCCAGTCAAAATAAGGTTGATGTTCCCTGACATCTAGTACTTAAACTATATAATGCAGTATGAATTTTCATGGAAGTTTATGTGGAACTTACTTTGATATCTGTTGCCATTTTATAATTTTAGTGGAATTTCATATAAAGTTTCCAGCAGGCTGATTTGCTTTTCAGAAAGAGAAACACAAAAATCTGTGAAAATCAAATAAATATGACTGGCAAATACTGCTTATGAATTGTTTTGAACTTCATTTTAGAAACTTTGAATTTCTAAACCTAAATTCTTAGGAAGAAATACAAAACAACCCGAACCATTTCCACAGGTCCTACAACATGCTGTTAAACTCCAGAGCTGTAATTCTGATGTTATGGATATCAACCATAAAGTAATAAATCTGAGATATTTGAAAAGAACAACTATTTCTTATTCAGAGTTAATGTCAAAATTTCATCTCTAGATAGGAAAATTAAGATCAAATCCTAATGAAAGAAAACAGGAACGTAAAGAAAACTTAACAATTGAACATTTCCATATTTATATCTTATTCTTTACCTTAAAAAAACACCCAGACAAGGTTACAAAGATAAAAAATGATGTATCTATCCCTTAATTTCAAAATGTTTAAAATTCTTCTGCTTACACATCTGATTGTGCAATCAGAAAGCTTAATTCCCATGTACCACCCTGAAATATCCTCAATAGTGTCTCCCCTCCAATCACTTAATGTTTTTCTTCTAGGCAATGTTATCCTGCTCTTTGAAATCCAGTATTTCTTCTGCATCCTTGTAACCTCTTATCTCACCTCCTTTTCAAAGGACAGTACTTGGGATACTGCAACCTCACCAAAGATCTCAAGTTACCCCAAGGCTTCCTGAAATGACCAGCAGGTCACGTTCAACTAGCAAACTGTTCCGGAGCTCCTTCAGCATGCGGACCTTTGGGGTGCAGGAAAGATTTGTTGTGTGCATCTTCCTGACACTCCTTGAACTTTACATCCCTTAGGCCCTGTTCCTCCCCACGAGTCAGGAATTAAAGGAACTTCATTTTTATTCGTTATATTTAACCCCTGAAGATCGGAAGGCACATCCTAAAAATCAGGTCCTTACCTGGAAGTAATTCCAGCTGAATTCCAGTGGGGAGAGTAGATGCAGAGCTTTGGGCTGTAATTCTACCTAGAAGCAGCTATTTTTTCCTCGGAACTGTTTGCTCTAACGTAAACCTACACATCATGAATGGGGTTACGTGGCAGAAAGTTCTAACTACATAAGAATGCATTTATGAAAAGACGGTGTATCCTGTTTGCTGCACAGGGCGTCGCCTGCCTTGACGGCTTACCCTGACCTAATCCTCAGAAAGGGAGACGGAAAGGAAAAGAAGAAACTTCCCGAGTGGACGGCAGATTGTCAAAGCCCATTAGCTGGGCAGAGGAAGGAACCCTCCAACAAATCTGGCAGCAGCGCCGGGCTTCACCGTAGCAACGTCACCTCCTCCCCTCCAATCACCGTCCTTCCCCCACGAGGCCGACGCGCGCCGCTGGATCCCTTGCGACAACACCGCGGACGTCTCAACGACCGACTTGGGTGTAAAAAGATTTTTAAAAAGGGTGGGTGGGGGAAGTCGGGCATGGTGTTGTCAGGATAAACCGCCAATCGCATTCTAGCTGAGCTGCGAAAGCCCTTTTCCATTGGTGTAAATGGTCACATGCTTCGTTCTTCCTTTTCCTTTGAATGAAGACGCTGCTGGGTAAAAGTAAGCGGGGTCGTGAGCGGAAGTGCGGTCGCTCGTTTGGGTAGCGAAGGTTCGGCTCAAGAGCGGCAGGACTCAGGTTGCAGCCTTCTGCTCCTATCCATGGGAGTGCGTGCTTCTAAATATAAGGGGGCTTTGTTTCTGAGTAACTGTAAAAGGCTGCACTGAATGCCGGTCGCGGCCGGATTTTCTTGGAGAGCTCTCCTTTGGCTTTTAACTGTCCTGCCCCCGCGCTTCCCCCCCCCCTGCGGAATTACTGGTTTTGAATAGATGAGGCAGCGAGCAGAAATTAAGCCATTGAAACTTATGATCATGTAACTATTAAAGGCATAATGTCCATTTCATGCAAAATAATGGGTAACTAAAGGAGATAAGGTTACACCGAATGTATGCGTGAATGTGTGTATATATCAACTTTGCAGCAGTTGTAACAGTGACCAGAGCACTCTTGGTAAGCATAGCCAACAAGAATTTTGTGCAAGATTAAGCCAAGTGTGAGCAACCTGCCCCCTTGAGGCTGCCTCTCTATGGTTGCTAAAAACTGACAGCACAATTTCTTGCCATTTTCAGGCGAGGAACGGATGAGGTTTTTATACTATACTGTAGTATAAACCTTAAACTTGCCGTATCTATTTTTTAAAGGAAAAAATAGATTCTACCTCTTCAGTTTTGCTTAGATGTGTGATGTGATTCCACCGACTTGTCCTCAGCCCCCCAAATCCTGAGACTCTGGATGGTCTGGAAGGGGTTAGTAGCAAAGCAAGTGTTGATATTATTAATTAATTCATAAAACACTGAAAGTTACAAAGATGTTATTTTACAGATGTGAAAAAAATATAGGAATGGAATGTTCTGGAGAACTCTGGAATGTTCTGTTTCCCACTGGACCATGCTGCACCTCTTCCTGCCCATGCTGTTCCATGTCTTTTCCAATTTGAAGAATAAATGGGAAAAGAGCATAAAGTTCAGCATTATCTGTATCACAACAAATTTTATCTGTATATTCTTGTAGCAATTAAATTGCATGGCTCATGCAATTTATATATACAGTATAAAAGGATTTTTTTAATAGTGAATATTTTTAAGGTTCATGAGCAAATTGTGACTTAGCTCTTTGGCAGTGAAATGAGTTTCTGTAATTTTTTGGTTAAAAACTGGTTCTGAGGTCAGTGTGTTCTGAGAAACTGAAATATTCTCCCTACGATTATTGGATATTAGCATTTCTGATGTCAGGTTTGTGTCTTTTATGTGTAGAGATTGGCCAGTTTGCAATGCTGAAAAAGTAAACATTACTGATAAATAGATTATTTAATGGATTACTGCAGGATCTAGATAGAGTTGGCCTCTGGATTTGATGTGAGTTTGAACTGTGTTCTCTGTCACTATGATACAGTCTGTTTTTATTAGTTACTGGATTGATAGTGAAAGTGTCACTATTTAGGATGTGAAATACCTCAAAATATAGCCATATTGGATCACCAAGACCCATTTTAATCCAGCATTTTGTTTGTCATGGTGGCTGCCCCAGATGCCTCTGGAGTGTTTGCAAGCAAGAGGTGGAGACATACTCCTCTCCCATCACTGTCCTCCCACAACTAGTAATTTAGAGGCCCACTGTCTAGCACAGTGGTAATATGGAGTCTTCAAATCCAATAACGCTTGGTAGACAAATTCTTTATTATTTTATCCAATCCCATTTTAATCTCTCTAACTCAGTGGCCGTCATCATGTATTATAGGAAATAATTCCAAAGGTTACTGATGCTCTATAGATCATTTATGATTAGTTTCAGTTACATATGGTGACAAGATATTGAATTGGTTCCTCAGTTTGTCCTGTGATGTTACTGAACAGATAATTGGACAGACCTTGGACTATCATATATGATATAAATAATTTAATGGTGAATCTCTGTTAATGAGTTTAACAGATACGGTTGTATATTATAGCCTTATCTGTAAACAGTAGATTTTGTAATGTTTTCTGGATAGGGCATACAGCAGGTAGTAACATCTGGTCGACCTAGGCTGATCCCAGAAACAGTATATAGATTGGATGTGATTATATATGACTTGGAGACCACTAGGAAATTCCAGAGCTATAGGCTAAAATGAGAAGTAAAAAAAAAAAAAGCAGAAGAATGTGATGACAAACGAATTCTGCACTGCCAGATATAGCAATTACAAACATATGTTCATACAGTTACTGGGCATCACGTTTTAGCTGGGGCTAGATTTTTGGCCTAGAGAAAAATAGTATCACATTTCTGGATTTTTTTGGAAATTGTATTGGACATAATCCTGTGCAGTATTTCAGCTGATCTTGTGATAGGTTTCTTATTGATTTTAAATTTGGTAGGTATGTTGGTTGGGGTCATATATGTTACCCTAAGAGTCTTATTGGAGGGATCTAATTATAGACTATCCAGGTGCAATTGTTTCTGTGATTTTTTACGTCATGCAAGATATCAATTTTGGATAAGGGTAAACAAGAAAGTGGTGTGATAGACATTCAAAATTGTCAAGGTCCATGCTGCCTTGAAGGATGTAGAAAGCAGTACAGACTATAGACACTGTGATGGACTGCAGTTGTGTTCCTGTTTTGACATATGACTAATGCCCTCAACAACAATACTAGTATACTTTGTGTTCAGCATGATGGGAGCCTTTTGTTTCTATTTTTAAATCCAGATGAAAGATTGTATCTGTGCATTCCTAACCAATGGCATGCAAGCAGATCAAATAAGGGGAAATTTGCTTCGTGTGACAAATTTGCTTCCTACCAACTTTAATCCTAACCAGTCTTGGACATTTTGCTGAACTTATGGGTAAGCCATTTGTTCAGCATGAATGTAGAAATGTGGAAAAAAGCAGCTGATTTGCATATTTGTATGTTGTGATCACTATGGACACCCTGTGGTGAAAACAGGCAGAAGCAGGTACCAGAATCAGGAGAAAAGTATGGAGTTCCTGGAAGACATTTAATTCTCCTGCAACATATGATAATGATTTCGCTTTCATCAAAAGCTTAGTATTAATATTTACTTGTATGTACCTAATGCTGTGCTGCTACCATGTATTTTTCAGAGTGTGTGAGTAATGGTAGAATACCCCATGAGGAGTATCAGCTGTACTCTACACATGAGTAATAAGCTGATATAAATACTATATAGGTATTGATATAGATATAGGTATAGTTTTATTTTCATTTGCTTTAAGGTAATTTATTGCTATTACTGTATAATGATTTTATATGGGCAGCTCACTTCTTGTGTTTTTATGTTTTTAAGGAATCGCCCAAGATAATTAGGTGAAGCATAAGAACCTGTCATTAACTTTTAGGCAGAAGTATATATGTCATGTGTTGTTAATCTTGCTCTTCAAAAACTTAAGGAAATCATGGTGATATTTTAGAAGTTATAAGATCTGTTATACTTTCATAATTTGTTTTCTCTGCTGTGAATATTTTTATTGAATATATTTGGAAATCATATATATCTTGAATAATAAATAAGCAAATGGGATTTATTTTAAGTAAATGCCTATCAGTGAAATAGATCCTGAGAGTAAAAATTGTAATTTATGATTGATAATTCTATAATATCTGATAACAATATAATATTTTCAATTAAAAGACATTTCAATTTAGTATACATCTTATTAGTATTTATATTAAATATATAATAACTATATTGCTTGATGTAAAATATTTAGATGGAGTTTAAAATTGAACATACATGGAACAGCCTTCCAGTGTCCCATGATCCAATAATGATCAGGCTGAGTCCTGAAAATTCAGGAATATTGATGGAATTGAATGCTCCGTTTTTCAATGATCCTCCAGCTCCTCCTGGTGAACCAGGAAAACCATTCAATGGATTGTGGGATTATGAGGGTAAGCGAACCTATTGTACTGGGACTTAAAATTTTGAATATTCTGATAGCAATTCTTCCCTAGAGATCGTCTATTTCAATTTTTTACTTGTTACAAGTGTACACTGTAGCAAAATGCTAATGTGTGAAGTATTCCTGTTTTGGGTGCCTATGAGCTATCTTGTTTTCAGTATGTCTTTGCTACTAGTAGCTTAGCTATGTAAGGATTCATATTTTGACTTGTCACAGTATGAATTTATTTTAAATATATAAATTCTAATGATAGTCCCACTGCTTTTTCCATCTGAACAGTGTAAACTTATAATGTCTAACCATAAACTATAGCAGTGATTAAAGTCTTCCACTTCTTTCTGAACATAAATATTTAGATACCATAATCAAATACAAAATGGCTAAAGATATAGTTCTGTCAATAAAACTTAATATCTTTGGTGAATCAGTTTTGAGGCTTCTGTAAAAACCACTTGTCAGATTTATATCTAACTTTTTCATATGATGGAACTTTGCATAGGCTTACACTCCTGTCTTAAAGGGTAGAAGTGCAGCAAATCATCTCTGCTATTTCAACCCTCCCATCTTTCATACTAGATATATGACTAAACAGAAATGTTTAGTCAAAATAAGTTTTACTTTATAATGCGACCTCCAGCTGCTCAGCATATTGCTGGTTACTTTAGTTTACTGACTTTCATGCTGGTATCAGAGTTTTTAAAAATGATTCTTGATCAATCAAGTAACTTAAATAAATATTTGCATGAAGTCACACGGCCATACAGCAGCTTGTGGTATATGAGATTCACATCAAGCTACAAAGCTAGAAGTTTAATGACACTTCATTCTCTCTTGTGGTAAGTCATGTATTATTACTTATACAGACTTTTGTGATCTTACCAAGATAACCACTACCTTCTTCAAGTCACAGTTGCATCAATTCTCCTATTATCTGTATTCATTATCATTTCCCTTACTTCATTATGACTATTTCAAAGTAGTTCATATTTGAAATGTTTTCCCAGAAGAGAAATATTATTGTGGAGTGAAGCTGTTTGATTTTTCCATTTTATGTTTCTCTTATGCCACTGAAATAGAATTGTTTTATCCTGAACACAAGACTTTTCACTTTGCACCATTGTTGCCAAAAATAAAACATTTGTGGGATGTGCAGTCAGTTCAGCAAGCATGAATACGTTTTTTTTAAAAAATGCTTATCAGGTGAAGGTGAATCTCAGCTGGTGGTGCATTCTGTAGTTCTAAATTGGATAGTGTTGAGATCTTTATTTCCAGAACAACTTCAAATAGGGATTTAAAAGTTTCAGTGTATGAGTGCCAAGTGGGAGATGGCATGAAGAAGTTGTACATTGTGAAGTACTGTAAACTTCTTGTGGAAGCCATTTGGATAGACTTGCCCCTTAGTTTTTGATGCATTAGAATTATGATTCCCAAGTAGTTTCTTTTTTCATACATATGAATATATTTAGTCCATTGAGTCTGAACTTTTGTCATAGTTTTGTCTTGTCATATTTTTAAAATATGTAGTTATGGCAAAGCATTTCCCAAACCTCTGATAGAAACCTTATACTTATGGCTTCTGAATAAGGTTAAAGTAGGCTTCCGAAAAAGGTTTTACAATTCTTTGCATTTTTGTGTGTCTGTGTGTGTGCCTTTGAATCAGTGTTGACTCTTGGCAACTGACTAGTCCCTACAGTTGGCAAGATTTTGGAAGTGGTTTGCTATTGTCTTCTTGCCTAGGCCTGAGAGGATAACTGGCACAAGGTCACCCAGCTGGCTTCATGCCTAAGCAGAATTAGAAATCAGGCTCTCCCAGTTTCTAACCTAGTGCCTTAACCACTACACCAGACTGGTTCTCGCCTTTGCATCATTAGGGTAGGTAAAATAAGACTGCCCCGTGGGTGTTATATTCAATACTCTTTGTGTCTGTATAAAATATACAGTGCAAAATAAACAATAATTGTTTTCTGGTTTTAGTTGTAGAAGCCTTCTTCTTGAATGATCAAACTCAGCAGTACCTAGAAGTAGAGCTCTGTCCGTAAGTAAATATTTCAAATCATTTTTAGAATGTCCTAATTACTTTGGCAATTTTTAATTACAGTCGTGTTGCTTCTGAAAAAGTGGTTTGCATTGCCTCCTTCCTGGGGCTGAGAAAGAATGACTGGGCCAAGGTCATCTACCTAGCTTCATGCCTAAGGTGGGACTAGAACTCATGGTCTCCCTGTTTCTAGCCTGATGCCTTAACCACTACACCAAACTGGCTTACATTCTGAAATTCTGCTTTAACATTTGGGCATTACTGTAGCTTTATGCAGCTGGACAGGATCTAGCACTAGGGACTTCTGTCTAGGTTTGGCAGGTATCACTCTTGGTACTATCTGTCTGTTTGGAATTGTTCTGTAGTTTTTGAACAGTCATGGGAAATACTTTGTGGTGTTGCTTAATGGCAGACGGAAGGCATGAAAATAAATGATCCTGCAGCCTGTCTTGCCAGTGGTCAAGGATGATTTGAGATATAATTCAGTAATTTATGAAAGGTCATCCCTTTCTTCTGGGATCTTTAAAAACATTTGTAGTCTAACCATCAACCCTGGAGTTTCCTGATAGTCTTCTATCTAAATATTTAGGCCTAACTCTGCTAGCTTCTGAACCAAATGAGTTCAGAAATGGGTAATATTAGCAAATCAAAAAATACCCAACTGTGTCTCTGTATGTATGTATCTCTATCTCTATCTACACCCACTCTCTCTCTCTCACACACACACACACACACACACACACACACATACTGTGGCCATATATTGCAGGAACATTTAGTAAATGTAGTCCTCTATCTTTCATTTTTTTACATTCGTTTATTTAGCTGATGGCTGCTAAAAGTAAACTC